AAATTTGTCTAACGAACAAAAAAATGCTTAACGTTTCGGAAAGTTTATCTCTTTCCGTCGCGTCGTCGGAAGCAAAAAAATACAAAGAATAAAGAAAAAAACTATTTAAAATATTTAAATTCGACTATTCGAGAACACTTTAGTTTTTTAAAACAGATACGTCTACAAAAACCTTTGACGTTCTGTTAAAATGACATTATATCAAATTAAACTTCAAAATTAACAATTACTACCTGATGACAATTACTTAATAAAGTAAGCCCCAAACTTTCTGTATGATTATTTTTAATTTTTACGTATGTTGTGTTTATTTATGTTATGTTCTTTAAAATCAAAAAAGCGATTGCCATACATTACTAACATCTACAGATCCATTTAGATCCATTTTATCACATACTAAACCAATGAATACAGAACAACAAACAAAAAATGTAATATACCAAATACCATGTGAATGCGATAAATTTTATATTGGTGAAACATCTAGACCCTTAAATGTTCGAATTAAAGAACATAAAGATTATTTAAGAAAGGGAGATTTTCACAAATCTAAGATTTGTCAGCATTCATGGGACATAGGGCACAGAATAAATTTTAATATCGCCAAAATTATAATGAAAGAAGCGATAGCCTTTAAAAGAAAAATAAAAGAGGCTTTTTTAATACAATCTAATCAAAATAAATGTATTACTCATGCATCTGTAGATGTTAGTAATGTATGCCAATCGCTTTTTTGATTTTAAAGAACATAACATACATAAAAATTAGAAATAATCATACAGAAAGTTTGGGGCTTTTTGGTTTTACCTTATTAAGTAATTGTTATCAGGTAGTAATTGTTAATTTTGAAGTTTAATTTGATATAATGTCATTTTAACAGAACGTCAACGGTTTTTGTAGACGTATCTCTTTTAAAAAACTAAAGTGTTCTCGAATAGTTGAATTTAAATATTTTAAATAGTTTTTTTCTTTATTCTTTGTATTTTTTTGCTTCCGACGACGGAAAGAGATAAACTTTTTAGGATTAACGCAGAAGTGTTTACATAAAACAACTTTTTTATTTTGTAGATTTTCTTGCAGTGGCGAAATACCCATAAGTATAGGATTTTTTGGAGAGGTGAATCCGCCACATAGGTATAGACATTTTTATATTTCATTGTTGATCTTTAAACTCAAGTTCAAAAAAAAATTACTGGAATTATATGACTTTGTTTTATATTTAAACCCTCTTACTTAAATAAAGTTATATTTTCTTTGCACTCTTACTTATTTAAATATTACTATGCAAATTAGCTACCGACAAGATAACTGCAGACTCCATGCACGTAAGCTCTCCTCGGGCGAATATCCAGTTCTAACGACAGCCAATAACAAGGCTCTTTTACGCGCTCTATATATGTATATTACCTGAAGTTGAGCCGTTTAGTCCGATATTCCCCCGGGAATATAACGCAATTAGCTGCTCTTTTACTGCCTTAGCCTAGTTAAGGCGCCTTTACAACTGTGCATGCTTACTCGGTATGCGTTAATAAACATACCCGTATTTCTTACAGTTAATATGGCCAGCCATTTGGTTGTGCCAGGGCTAGCTAAGTATTATTAAAAAGTACGGATTTTATCCGGCATTTTGTTTATACATATAAATTTTATTAAGTTAATGGAACAACGTAACGGTTGCTTTAGTGAAATAAGTCAGAATATATAATTTTTACGATGTAGATTGTAATTGTATGAACGGGGGAAACTTAATCACCGCAACGTTATAGATCTATTGTGTCCCTTTCTTCAGTTATAACTCGTCATACAGTCCTAGAATGTAGAATGTAGAATGTTTAGGAGGGGAGTTAATCACCGCGACCTTATAGATCTATTGTGTGTTCCCCTTTCTCGAGTTATAACGCATCATACAGTCTCAGGGCTTTAAGAAAAGCAAGTATCTGAGACGGCTCCACAGAGGTCAGCTCTCCATCCTCGACATCAGACGTACCAAGGTTCATGGCGCGAATGGTCGTCGTCTCGGCGCACTCAGTGATAAGGTGTTCTGGTGTTTCCCCATTTTCCCCACAAAATCTGCATTCGCCGTTGTTTCTCAGTTTCAGCCTACTGAGGCGTTCGTTGAGGAGACAGTGTCCTGTTAGAAACCCCGTGACAATCCGAAGATTGTTTTTACTTAAATCAAGGAAAACCTTTGATTTTTCTCGGTCATAAGTTCTAAGGAACTTTTTCGAGTGTCTTAGACCGTTGGAGGACACCCATTCCAAGTTACGGATGGAGTCCATGTATTCCAGATTCTTCAGTTCCGCTTTCAGTTGGTTCCCGTTTGGAAAACAGAACGGTTCTGGTCCAGTTAGTGGAGTGTTCGCTCCTTTTCTAGCTAGATCATTTGCTTTTTCATTACTTACTTTTATTTATTTCATACAGTCCTAAGGCTTTGATAAAAACCAGGATCTGAGACGGTTTTACTCTGGCGACTTTATGACTTACTGTTCTCTCCATCTTCGATATCAGTCGTACCAACGTTTCTGCCACTCAGTGATCAAGTGTTAAGACTTCTGGTGTTTTCCCATTTCCTCAAAGAATCTGCATTCTACGTTGTTTCTTAGCTTCGCTCTACTGAGGTTTTGACTGAGGAGGCAATGTCCTGTTAAAAAACTCCGTGACATTTTTTTAGCTAATCCGGCTCTTTTTCTAGCTAGATCGTTTGCTTGCTCTTTATTTTCTATCTATATGCATTCTTTGACCAATTTCTAATTGATGAGTACTGAGTTGATCACTTTAACGCTGCTTAACTATCAGATAATATTTCTATCCTAAGATAAGTTGTACGCATCTTTCGATAGCGTAGATTTCTGCTTGTAGGATGCTGGGTAGGTGCCTATTAGTTTGGAGTATTTACCCCTGTACCACAGTAATATAGGTAAAATATTATATTTACATATTGACCCACCGATGGAAACGACAGATTTTTTTTAATGGGCCAATATATATGTTTTATACAAAGCCCATATTAAAGTTACGGTTAAAATATGCATATTCTATACCGGGTGCGTCTCAGAAGTGGCTGACCCCCTATAACTTTTTTATTTTTTCAGATAACTCTCGGTATTTTTTGCTTTATTCGATAGAAAATGACATTCTGAATAGAATGACATATCATATGTCAACTTTGGACATTCTCGCTTAATAAAAAATTGTATTTTAAAATTCCATCTAGGGTGCCATGGATGGCTATGTTAAAAACACTAATCCTTCATCAAGGAGCCTTGGAAAAATAGATTCAATCATCTAATGTTTTTAGTGTCTTGTCCTGGCCAGTTAGAAAATACTCTAATCGTATTTTTAATCATATCTCAATTTTTTCAAATGGAACGAGGGCGGCTCAGTAGCATATTTGGAAATAGCATTTTTTACGAATAATTTGATACCACACACTTGGTATTTCAAGTCAAATTTTCCTAACGAACCGCAAGTTTTAATTTCAAATAAACCATATGCAAAAACGTCAAAAGTTGACATATGATATCTCATTCTATTCAGAGTGACATTTTCTAACGAATAAAGTAAAATAATTCCGGCGTGCTATTTAAAAATCAAAAGTTGTAGTCATTTCCGGTGAAACGTCAACCAATCCTAATGTATGTTATATACTGAGCTACTTTTGAGACGCACGCGTATCCGGTATAGATATAGAAAAATAGAATATCTTTTATATATTACCAATATTGGGTAAATATTACATATAAATACAAATATTAGTTATTGCTAAATATGCTTTGCGCGTGTTGGAACAATATTGGATAAATATTGTATAAAAAATATAGGTAAAAGGTGCAACTCATATATATTACCAATATTGGCTAGAAATTGCCAATATTGGGCCTATATACGCTATTTTACCTATATAGAATCAATGTTGAGCCAATATAGCGTGCTACTGGGGTAGTTTTCGGCCCAAATACTCCTATCCCTGTTCCTACTTTGGTTTTAGAAACGTCAGTATACCTCGTTATGGTATAGTCTTTTAAATGCTGAGCAAACGTTTCCCAATCCAATTTTTTTTTTGCTCAATACTGCAATGAGATGCTTCTCAAAGTTGTACATTCTTGGTATGTCATCCACTGGGAGTGGTGTGAAGGGTAGTGGAGTAGAATTTTTTTTTGGATGGTGTTCCAAGCTCCTGAGCTGAAAATTCTCCCAGTACTGTTTCCGTCAATGACCATTCTAATTTTTGTCGCAATGAAAATGTGCAATGGTGTCTAAAATAACCTTTATTGCTGCTGCTGGGCAGGTTCTGAAGCAACTTCTCCATATAATCATCGGTCTTGCTATTACGGTATACACCCAGCGCAAAATGTTAAGGGCGCAGTCCCATCTATTTCCCTCCAGTCTTGTGCATGTCATGAGAGCCTTTGTGGCTTTGCATTTAAACTCGGGATCCCGAAGTGCCAATCTAGATCGACATGAGAAAAGTTACTGTTGCTTATTGGTTTTGTATCAACATGGCTGATTAATAGTATATTATTCAACCAGCATATATTGGTGGCTAAAGAACCCCTAGGGATACAATGGGGACTGTTAAGCAGGCTAGAAGACCTGGATTACGCAGACGATCTATGCATCTTTTCCCATTCACATTCGGATATGTCTCAAAAACTTCTTAGACTCCAAGAGGAAGCTAATAATGTCGGTCTTCAAATCAACGTGGCGAAAACCAAAGAAATGAGGTCAAATACTCCCAACAACCAAGATCTATACCTCTCCAACCGAGCCATCGAAAGAGTTGATGAATTTCAGTACCTGGGAAGTATGGTTCACAGCGATGGGGGCACAGAGAATGATATAGAGGAAAGGATTTTGAAGGCACAAAGAGCTTTTGTCATGCTTGCACCTGTGTGGAACTTCACCATATATAGAAAAAAAATAAAGTTCAGCTCTTCAACAGCAATGTAAAATCTATTTTGCTTTATGGATGCGAAACATGGAAAGATCCGCGTGGTCTCATGGATCGCTTGCAGGTGTCTGTTAACAAGTGTCTTCGAAGAATATTGAGAATTTTCTGGCCCAATCAAATTAACAACGAAGAACTGTGGAGAAGAACATCACAAAATCGAATAGATATCGAAATTAAGAAAAGAAAGTGGGGCTGGATTGGGCACATTTTGCGCAGACCCCACAGAGATATCTCTAGACAGGCACTTGAATGGAATCCACAGGGAAGACGTGCCAGGGGAAGACCAAGGAATACCTGGAGAAGAACAGTAACCTCTGAAGCCCAAGAGGTCGGGAAAACATGGGGAGAGATCAAACAGACAGCTCAGAATAGGATCAGATGGAAACATCTCTTAGAAGAAGCCCTATATCCCACGAAGGGATGACGGACGGGAATATATATATATATATATATATATATATATATATATATATATATATATATATATATATATATATATATATATATATATATATATATATATATATATATATATATATATATATATATATATATATATATATATATATATATATATATATATATATATATATATATATATATATATATATTGGTGGCTGTTATTTACGCGGATGAAGTTTATGACACGAGCCTCAGGCGAGTCTTATAAATCATCCAATCATCCATGTCATCCATATATATATATATATATATATATATATATATATATATATATATATATATATATATATATATATATATATATATTGGTGGCTGTTATTTACGCAGATGAAGTTTATGACACGAGCCTCAGGCGAGTCTTATAAATCATCCAATCATCCATGTTAAATAATCATCCATTATATGCGAGTAGAATACTATACTTACCCAGGACTATCAAAAAAATTTAGATAATATTAATATGTTTTTATTTTTAATGACAAAAAATTATTGAACGAGTATAACGAGTAAGTAACATGGAAACAAAACATTGAAATTTTCTTTAACTAGGTAGCTAACTAATTTAGCTTTTGGTCAGCAACTTCAACAACTCCAAATGAATTTGCGCTAAGGCCAAAAGAGAGCCTACCACCTGGTGCAGAACAGGCATGGCCGGTGTGGAGAAGTCTGAACCGTTTGCGTACTCAGGTTGGCAGATGCAAGACAAACATGAACCAGTGGGGCTACCTTGACGGATCTGTATACTGTGAATGCGGAGAGGAACAAAATATGAGGCATCTTCTCGTATGCCCAAATCTCCCAAACATATGCAATCAGGAGTGATTTCGCGGAGGGAAATACCAACGCTCTGGAGTGTACCAAGTACTGGATATCCTGTATATAACTGCTGTATGCATATATATTTTTTGTAGTTTGTCTAATTCTGTACAAGTATTGTTCCTATTTATGTTGATTGTTTGACTATGTTTTTTTAAATGTATGATGTGCCTTTTTATTAATTTAGCCGTTTTGTATATTTTATAAATATTTTTGTGTTTCTTGATTTGTTTTTTATATATACTGAGTTGGACACGAGTAAATAAATAACAGCTCTTGTTTGGACTTTGGATCGAGATATCCGTGGAAGCGTTGAATAATGAAACCATTATTCACTAGCGAATAATGAATATTATTATTATTTCATAAACTCATGTATAATAATCAAATTATAGACGAGTCGTGGATAAAATTTTATTTTACATGATTTTCCCAAATTGATATAAACTTAAAACCATTTTAATTTTAGCTCTTGACAATATACCGTATGATCGAAAAAAAACTGCGTCAGCGATGGCTGTGAAATGAAGATCACTGTCATTTTTTATGTAAATTTATATGGGAAATGTCATCGATCGTCATTTTCCAGCCAACTGGATGCCGTTTTTTTTTCGATCATACTGTATTAACGAGAATTAGGTAGTTCGGGTTTTTCATTTGTAGATGATTATTCCTGATTTTAAGTAATATAATTTGGGGTTTCTTGGGGAACTGATACCGAAAGGGCATGTAAACTTGGTTGTTAACTACTCACGGAAATGTAACCTCTCACGCGTTCTTTATTTATTTTAGGATTAATGATATTGCCCTAGAAAGTTTCAACTTGTGTAAGCTGGAACGCATAAAAGCCATTAAGGGATGGGGTAACGACTGTAAAACCTTAATATTTCCGGTTATTTTCCGTTTCCGTAAAGGGCATTTTCATCATTTACGATAAAAATTCTAAAGTAATCTTCCCGGAATGTTCTATTTTTACAAAGGACTTACTTTGAATAAAACATATGATTTTATTTCCCTTTGCGGTAGATTTGTTTAGAGTATGTTATTAAATTTCCGAGGGGGAAAGCTTTTCAAGTTATGGATTTGTTTATATAACAAGCTTAAGTAGAACCGAGAACGAAACATTCTGAAAGAATAACGATGTTATTTGAGGTCTTATTTTTTATAAATGTACTTTAAATAATATCTTGTTTTATACAGAAACTATTATTAATTTAATTATTGTATTTATTTAAACAAATTATTTGTTACGAATTTCTAGGTTTTTGTTGGATTCCAAGTATTTAATTTTTTTAACAGTAAATTAATTATACAGTGTGTTTTAAAAACCATGTGCCATTTCTCGTGCAGAGATTCCTCATGTAAAAATAAGATTTATTTTTCATATCAACATAGGTCCAATTCTGCTTTGTTTCGTAGCTACAGGGGTTTAAAATCTTCTTTTTTTCGATTTATTATAATTTTTTTCCGAGTGCTTACATAGAATGAAATTTTGCCGGTAAAAATTATTGTGAGTGCTACATATTTTAATGCTAAAAAAGTATCTACAGATTCACCAGGGACGTGCATATGGGATATCACTGTAATATTTTTCGTAAAGAAAGCATTTTCGCCACTGACTTTTTCTTGTTAGAATTGTTTTATGCTGCTTATGTAAAAGTTAGCAAAATCAACCAAACGTTTAAATGGAAATACGACGCAGAATTCAACCGGGCCTAAATAACGCTATGACGCAGATCACGAAAGTTTGGTCGAATAGTCACATAACGCACAATCGACAAAAATCAACCTTGTAAATAGTCTTGTATTTCCGGTTATGCTTTACGCTTCTGAGATATGGACATTGTTGGCCGCCGACAGACAACGCATTGACGCCTTCGAGATGTGGTGCTAGAGCAGAATTTTGTGAATACAATGGACAGCACATCGCACCAATGTGTCGGTCCTTAATGAAATCCAATTGCCACCAAGACTTTCCAGCACAATCTATAAACGCATCCTTTCCTTCTTCGGTCACGTCAACAGGAGCGGGCATATGGAGAGCCTTGTAGTGTAGAGAAGACCTGCCGGATACCGTCGCCGAGGAAGATCGCTAACCAGGTGGGTGGACATCGTTGAAAAAGTTATGAATGCCAACTTGGAGGGTGCCGTTCGTAAAACAGAACAGGGAAAATTGGAGAAGGGCGGCCGTCAGGTCTTTAGAGCCAGAACCAGAGCCACTACACGTCGTATACGCGGGGTAGGTCCTTCCTGGCTTGAACCAGAGCCTCCACTCGCTGCGGTCCATCATTCGTTCTTCTACTCGCCGATCTCTCGTTTCCGTATATGTCCGCAGCAACATTATCTCTCCACCGCATTCTCAGTTTTCCCGTTGATGTCTCTTTACATTGCCGGCCCATCTCAGTCTTTTGTACTTTACTATTTTCACTATATCTGGCTGCTTATATAGTATATAGTTCTACCAATTCCCTGTTTTTTCTTATTCTACATTGCTGCGTTGTGCTTTACTGGTCCGTATATCCCTCTAAGAATTCTTCTTTCTGCTATTTTTAGTCTGTTTTCATTTTGTTTCGTCATCATCCATGTTTCACTTGCATGTGTCATTCTGGGTCTTATAACGGCTTGATAGATTCTTATTTCGTACTTTCGTACGGCGGGATACATTTTTCGATTACATTATTGTTTGAAGTGAAAACCAGCAGTGATTTCCTTCTACTCTGTTGTTAATCTCTTGTGTTATGTTATGATGTTATCAGAGATGATCGTAGCTCCCAAATATTTCAACTGGTTACTCTGGAACTCTTTTAAAATTGTATTTTTCTATTGTCACATTCTGTCCTATTTTGTCTCGTCATTCTGTTCTTGTGCTACCTCATACCTTGTGCCTGAATATCTGTTGGTAATTTACTTATTTCGTTATGAGCCATTTCTGGCTCCAATTCAATCAGCACGAATCGACACGAAAGAGAATTAAAAAATATTGACTCAAAACTGACAACTAAAGAGACAGCTTTATTTATTTGCCAAATTACGTAGAAACCAACGCCAACCCAGCACAATATTTTTTCTACTCGTAATAAAGTCTAGAGAAGTGTTTAGTTCTACGTACAGAAAATTGCAAAAAACTTCTATTTAAGATAATTACAAAAGACTTATTTTTTAAAGTTTTAACCTCCTGTAACTCTATGCATTTCCGCACCCATATTTATAGAACTATTTTCATATTTTCGGATGAGAAATAAACTAGTACTTATTTAATAGTTTGGCCAGTTAATGGCATCAGAAAAACTTACCCCCCTGTACAATCGGAAAAGTCTTTGAAACTTACACCCTGTGTATTGAACCAATACATACGGTCTTTTTATCGATACCTACTTATAGTTATTTTTATACAAGACGATAAAATGGTATTTTATCGTCGATCGAAAATATTAATGAATTAATTTCAGGGGACGATAATGCAATTTTATCGTCGTGTATAAAACAATATTCTTTTCCATAGCGAGTTACGTTTTAAAAAATATTCAGAGATTATTATTTCAAGGACTTTATTACGAGTAGAAAAAATATTGTGCTGGGTTGGCGTTGGTTGCTATGTAATTTGACAAATAAATAAAGCTGTCTCTTTAGTTGTCAGTTTTGAGTCAATATTTTTTAATTCCCTTTCGTGTCGATTGCTGACTGAATTGAAGCCAGAAATGGCTCATAACGAAATAAGTAAATTACCAACAGATATTCAGGCTGAGGCGACAAACGCCATATCCAAACTACTTCCATTTAAATCCCGAATAACTTATGAAAAGAAATACAAAAATTTTCAAAAATGGAAGCAATTAAAAAACGTGCGAGAAGAAAAAGTTTTTAACCTATCCTCGCTGTTAAAGTATCATTTAATCTACCCTTGCGGTTAAAGTACTATTTTATCTACTATTTTTGATAGATATAAGGCAATTTTAACAGTTGCTACGGAAAAAACATTACTACCTACTACATAAAAGTGTCCATTTGGAAAACCCTTATCGAAACAAAAGTATCGATCGCATCGCTTCATCCCTAGAGACGCAACTAATCAATAGTAAATGAAAACGTCAATTGTGATAAACTCGATAAGAGTCTGAACGATTATTCTTCCGTTTACCTAAAGTG